CTCCCCCCCTTCCCCTTCCCCCCATCCACCTTCCCCTCCATCTCCCCCATCCCCCTTCCCCTTCCATCTCCCCCCTCCCCTTCCCCCCTCCCACCTCCCCTTCCCCCTCCATCTTCCCCCCTCCCTCCCCTCCCCTTCCCCTTCCCACCCCCACCCTCCTTTCCATCTCCCCACTACCCCCTTCCCTCTCCATCTCCCCCACCCCACCCACCCACCGCCACCCCCCCCCCAGTCAGCCAAAAAAATCATAACACACTCAAAGCCCTCGGGAGAGCAGACGATAAGCCACCCGCCACGCCACCGCAGATCAATACAGCTGGCTTGAGTGAGGGTCGACGCCCACGGGTATAAGTGTTCCCCCGGCTTTGTGACGAGGAGTCGAAAGGTGAGGGGGAGGGGAAGGGGGGGAGGGATGGGGGGACGCTCATCTTTTTGTTTGTGAGGAGGGGGGTGGGGAGAGAGGGAGAGGGAGGTAGGGGTTAGAAAGAGGAGAAGAGGAGGATGGGGAAGGGATAGAGAGCGAAAGGAAGGAAGGAGGAGGGGGAGCGGGGGGTAAGGAGGGGAAGGGGGGAGGGATTGGGGGGACACTCATTTTTTTCTTTTTGTGAGCAGGGGTTTGGGAAGGGTGGGTGAGGAGGGAGGGGTTAGAAAGGAGAAGAAGATGAGGATGGGGAAAGGATAGAGAGGGGAAAGAAGGAAGGGGGTGTGAGGAGGGAATAGGGAGAGAGGGTTGGGGGATTGTAGGGGGGGGAGTAGGAGGGGAAGGAGTGGGGAGGTTAAGGATTGAGAGGAAGGGAAGAGGGGGGGAGGGAGGAGAAGGAAGGGAGGAGGTGAGAGAGAAGAAGTAGAAGTGATGACAAGTTGGAAAATGTGGGAGAGAGAAAAAGGAGGAAAGTAGGAGTAGGAGGCAGAGGAGGAAAAGAAGGAAAAGAAGAGAGAGGAGAAAGTGATAACAAAAGGAATGAGGAAGGAAACCGCAGAATGGTGGACAGGATCAAAAAAGAAGAGAAAGAGGAAGAGTAAAGGAAATGAAAACGAAGAATCTGAAAAGAAGAGAAGAAAAGAAAGCAAAGAAAAAAAAAATAAAACAAAAAAAAAAAAAACACGAAACAAAAAGGAAGAAAAAGAAAGCAAGCAAGCAAGAAGAGGAAATGAAAAATCAAGCAAGGATAAGAACAGGGGGAGGGAGAGAGAGGGAAGGAAGGGGTAGGCAAGAGGAATAGGAGAAGGGTTAGGGGGGAGACCCATACCCCGAGTGCCAACCCGAGCCTCGGTGGCACTGGCACTGATAGAGACTGACGTGGAGGAATGACAGGGAATGCGTGTGTTTATGAGCCCGATTGGCACTCGTCTAGAACTGCCATTAGCTGATCGGAGGCTCAGATGACACGGAGTCTGAGCATGAAACATACTTGTTAAGGAATTGGGGCGAGGTGCTCCTCGAGGGCGGTTCAGCACGCGAGAACTTCGAAGGATTGATCTTGTTGTTCGTATTGTTGTTGTTGTTATAATTTCGATGGTCGTTGTCATTGTTATTGTCATTGTTATTATAATCATTGTCATCACTTTCATTATTAACATTATTGTTATTATCATTATTTATATCATTATCATTATCATCATCCTCTTTATTGTTGTTACTATTTTTATTATTATCATTATCATCATCATTATTATTAGGCCTATTGTTGTTATTATTATCATTATATTATCATCATTATTATTGTTATCATCATTATCATTATCATTTTTATTATTGTTATTATTATTGTTATTGTTATTACTATCATCATTGTTATCATTATCATTATCATTATTATTATCATATTATTACTAATATTATCATTATTATCATTTATTATCATTATTTTTATTATTATTAATGTTATTGCTATTATTGTTTTATTATTATATCATTATTATCATTATTGTTATCATAATCATTATCATCCTTATTATTGTACCTGTTATTATCATTATTAGTACTTATTCTAATTTCATTATCATTATCATGCCATTTTCATTATTGTTGATATGGTTGCTATCATTATCAAATCATTCAATAATGTTATATTTATCTAACGTCGAATTCATTGATCTTACCTATCTGCATACTCCTAAAATACTTCCTAAAAGTCTATGAAAGTATATGAGGCATTTTAAGACGAAAAAAATAAAAGCAGGAAAAAAATAGCTATTTCCAGTTCGTAAGAGATATGCAATGTAAATACTTGATTGATGGCAAAGCGGTGATGTGTAAATAGAATTTATCTGCCCGAGACGTTTTGTGAGTGCGTGTGAGAGGGAGAGGGAGAGAGGGGGAGGGGGAAGGGGAGAGGGGAAGGGGGAGAGGGGAGAAAGGGAGAGGGAGAAGGGAGAAGGGAGAAGGGAAGAGGGAGAGGAGAGGAGAGGGAGAGGGAGAAGGGAGAGGAGAGGAGAGGAGAGAGAAGGAGAGAGAAGGAAAGAGATGGAGAGAGAAGAAAGAGATGGAGAGAGAAAG